TCACACGCACAATTCTGATTACTTCAATCAACTTACAGAATAGGCATATGAACATTCCCTGGTAGCATGTAAACTAACCACCAAAACAGACTTTCCACAGAATTGCTGTAGTGTACCGGGTAAGAAGGTCTCGGACAAGGCGAACTGTCCAATTTCCTGCCTTACCTCTTTGTTTGGACCGTACAATATGAACATTATTGTATTCTCATTTATGCTTGACGAAGAGCAAATCGAATCGTAACCACACCTATTCATTCATGGAAATGGTTTTCCGAAGGTGGCGGGGGGGGATACCTCATCCATGAGAAGGCGATGCGTAGGGCTTCCTCAGCTTAGGTTGTTTGAGATATTTTGTCGTGTAGAGGAGCATTTCACAAAATGTAAGGGAATGGTGACTAGCCACCACTCAAGGCGTCGAATCATATATCTTTTGCCCCACGGTTTCTCATTAACCACAGCCTTGTGTTTGGTTAATCATATGGATGGTTAAACCGGAACACCCTGAACCACAAACCATGATTATCGATTACTGGTTGTTAAAACCATATAATATAACTGGGCTACAATCCCACCTTGGCAGTGCTGTGAGTATTCATCTCAGACGTGACTCTCTTAACCAGTCCGTCCGTATGTGGATCAATAAGATGATCTGATGATATTCAGCAAAGTTTGTAGCGGTTGAGAGCATCTAACCTGCATATAACTAACCTTGATTTACTAGTACTGGTTTACACATGGACTGTTTAAACTCAATTTGTCCGCAAAACTATGCCGCGAGTAGTAGATTGGAAGTTTGTAAAGAATATATATATATATATCCTTACATGGCAATACCTATTATTCCGGAGAGGGTTAACCTGGTTTTTGGGATAACAATGCAAGATATTTTTGATGTATCTGAGCTGTACCGGGATGAACATAGTTTACTTGTCCCATATTCTCGGTCCTCATATGTCGTATAAGGTGTAACCGGATAAAGCGGTTCGTCTAACACTTGAGCTGTGCAATTGATTTATTTGGAGATAAGGTGTATTGGATGGAACAGCGCAGTACAGTTTCGTAACTTTGCAATTTCTCATCAAGCACGTATTTCGTGTACAAAAGATTTGTTTTCAGCCTAATACAGTTTTTAATTCACTTGCTTTTGCCTAGCCTCGTGCACGATCGGGTCATTTGCCCGTTCTCCGCCGTTCTCGTGACTGTATTTGTCTACCGACCTTGGCGTTTGGGGACATTTCCTCTCTCTCACTGTCTCTCGTTGAACCGATCATATTTCCATTCACACATAGGTCTACTATCTGAGATGAGTGTCTTATGTTGTCATGGCAATGCCGCGCAAACAAGCCGCTAATAAATTGAACAACGTGTGTGTATTTGTGTGTGCATAAGCATAGATATAATTTGATCATTCCATATTCTAATTCATCCCATCATTGATCCCTCCTTACACCACCGCGAGGGAACGAATCACGTATTTTTTCTCAAAGAATTTCAAGAGTCTTATGGTTAGCCGCATTCCGTTACCAATAGCAGAAGTTTTATTGTCTCATTAATCAGCCGAATTGTTTACTTGACTCACATCATCCGCTTGGTACCCTTGTTGTCAATCTCATCTCATCGATGAAATAAAACGATAATCTACTTCTGTTGTCAAGCCTCATCCCGGTGACCTAACAATTGCCAGCTTGATTGCGTAAAGCAGGTGCACGATCCCGTTCCGTGTTGCGAGTGCGTCACACATCCCCACCCCCAAGCTATATCGGGTCGGAGACATGATTTACGTGACTTACGCATCAGTGACAAGCGTGGTTCGGTGGCACCGCGACGGCACGCGTGCTGAACAGCGTATCACGGTACTATCCTTGGTCACACGTTCTCTCTCATCCTCACGCCTAAAGTCTCCTCTGTCCCGTAAATGTGGGTCTGTACAGCAATTTTCGAGGATCGAGTGTTGTAGACTTTTCGTCTTTTCGGTGCATCCATCTTTGGTCATTGTCCGCATAATTCTGCTTCAGTTCGTTAGCCCACCCAACCTTACTCACTGTTCCCCGATCACATGATGATATGTCCCCACATCAACACCCGTGAGGTCAGAAATGTGTGCATGTATGTGTGGGGGGGGGCACGCTTGTGCAACAGTTGAAATGTCTCAGCAGCCTTTGGAGTGAGAATAAATATGTTCGTTCATCGTGCACGTATGGCTTGTGTTGGTCTGTGTATGTTAGTATGTGTGTGTGTGTGTGTGTGTATGGACCAGCGCATGCACTTGATTGTCAGGTCATAATCTGTAAATAGTTCCATGTAATGTTGACCGCACTGGCACAACCAAGCACGCACGCGCACGCATGCACGGGTGTATGCGGCCGTTTGTGTGTGCATCTATGTATCTATGCCCCTGTCGTTTCATCCATATCCAAATCGGTCTGTCCCGTTGTGTTTGTCGGTCCCACAGCTGTCGTTATGGTAGCAGCGCTCGTGCGGACCACAAAATACCGATGCCTTAGTTGCGCTTTTCGCCGTCGTCGTCGTCATGGTTGTTCGATGACATGCGTGTGAGCGAAGGGACAAGGATGAAGGATCACGTGATAGGACCAAATCGCACACGTGATGGGGGTGCATGTGACGACGAAGCGATCTGTTGTGTTCGATTGTGTCCAATCTCTTTCGCTATAACCCGATCCAGTAGTAGTACACTGTGACTTGCGTGCAAAGTACTCGTCAAGGTGTGGTGAAGAGGAGTGAAAGTGTCATACTAGTGTAGTGTGTCCGTATAACTATTTTGTGTATTCCTCCGCGCAAATACGCAAACAAGGCACCGACTATTGACTGTTGTACGGCAAGCAAGGTATTCCTCGTATCTTTTTAAAGTGGGCCTTGTTGCTTATAAAGAGTGTGAGTTGAAAAAAAAAACAGAATGACGCATCTGCGAACGTTTTAACTGGACTATATTTCCCCGTTTTCATTTGTACACCCGAATCGCGCCATTCGCGAATTTCGAGGTCCAAATAATAACGTTTTTATACCCGTTCGTACAATACAAGAGGACAGCCTGATCGACCGTCACTAGGGTGTACAGAACCCAACAGTCAATACTAGAATCCCATCACACACGTTCTCCTTCGGCCGCATGAATCTCTGTTGCTCTTAAGATCTGTGCTATGTACTACTCAAAGCTCTAGGCACGAGGATGTTTTCAGTACTACTGATGCTGTAGATTTTGAAGGTTACTACTACTACTACTACTACTACTACTACTACTACTACTACTACTACTACTACTACTATAGTACTACTACTACTACTACTACTACTACTACTACTACTACTACTACTACTACTACTACTTGAAGAGATTGGGCATTATTGCTTTCGCTCACAGCGTAAAGTCAAGTTTAGTGTGAGTTTCATCCACGATTTTTATAAGCCTTGTGGTTCACGCGTACATAGTTCGTTCGACCCAATTCCGATACTGAGCGCTGTTCCGTGTTTTACGAACTGACTGAAAACTGGGTGAATAGTTATTTTACAATACGACTTTTTGTTTTGAACATATATTCACTGGATTTTGCGTAGCTTAGTCACACCGAAATTCAGCGGCGCCTCTCAAGCTGGAATTTAACCGGTGAAATCTAGACTACTCATAAGTAGCTCAGTTACACATGACGAACAAACGTGGCGTTGACTTCATGGCTGTGATAAAGTGATCACATTTTCATCGTGATTGACCATTCCTTAAACTCTATTTTCAAGCATAATCCTCGATTTATTCAGTAAACCATACATTAATGAAGTATTAGACCTAGGTTTAGTCTTAATTAGAGCTCATCAATTTCGCACTTTCTGGGATTTTTTTGATGCGGTTTCCATGCATTGGGATTCAATCCGCGGACAACAATTTGGATGTACATTTCTGATGAGCTTTTTATGACGTCGAAATTCGAGTATATTACTTCCCAATACATGGCTAACTGGATGAGCAGCGGAATTTGCGTGCAAGTGGAGTCTTAAGGATAGATAGTTAAGGCGAAAACCACACATCCAACGCTACTACTCACTAATAAACATGTGTTGAAAATGAATATAACATTTTCATGAAATTCGATATTATTGATTCATAGCAAAATTTCTTTTTCTCATGTAGAAGAAAAATATATTGTCCGTTAATCTTTTTTCACTGTCATTTTTCTTTTTTCGAGTTGTTATTTGTGCTTTAAAAGCGCTACGAATATGGAATTCCACTGCTGAATTATTGTTCACAACGAGACCAAATTAGGTATACACTCTGCTTCCCAATGGTAGTCCGTTTGCAATGCGATCGTGTCACAGTTGAGCAAATGCATCTGTCACTATAAATTCAAGTGATACTTCAGTTTGCCTAAATTACTTTAAGTGCGTAATTGAGTGGGGTGAAAAAGCAGATTACAGAATAGTTCCGATGACGTTGATATGCCTGGTTTGGTTTCTGTCGATTACAACCAGTGGCTCTTTATTGGAACTGTCGGTTGGAAGGTAGATCGAGAGAGAGGCCAAATCTCAGATGCAGTGATAGAGTAACTTGTTGCTAGACAGAGAATCGCACTCTTGCGACAAATCAGGATCGACTCGATCAGTGAGAGTTTGCACTTGGTTCCTGATTGGTCAGTCATGCATGTCCTTTTTGTTTCAGTGATCATCCATTCAGATTACGTCTAGTCGGTTGTGTAGTGATCACCCTCATGGCTCACGTGAATTTGTCGATCGTTGGGGCCTTCTGTCCTATTCAGGTTTATAGTCACATTGCAATAAAAAATGAATTCTTTTTAATTCTTGTTCCGTTAGACTATTTGAATGAGACAACTACGTATGTGATGTTCTGCTTGTGAGTGTCATTGTGGTATTAGTTTCTACTGAGCACACAAATCTTAGCTTCATTCATCCCTCGTTCTACCTGTGAGCTAACACTTGTAGGTGTGGGTATCAAGTGGAAAGCTGAACCACGAGATCCCTTTCATTTGTTCTTCATGTTGATCGGATGTGGAAGTAATATAGACAGATGTTCTTTGTTTTTGGATGAATTTATTTCCAGTATAGTTTTAGTGGTAAGTTGAAGAAGGTCTACCTTTTTGGTTGCAAAACCTAAGGAGATTTGCTTCCTGTTCCACTTAAAAATGAAATTTGTCAAAAATATCTCCTTGCGTTTTATGAAAACCGCGAAGGGTTCCTCTGTTTGAAAGATATCTTTTGTGGAGAACAATTTAACTTTGGGTATTTTCGCATCTGAGAGCGAAACATGTATTTGTTTATCAGACATGGAGGTCCTTGAAGCCATTTCTGAACTTAAAACCGTATGTCAATTTTGGAAAATTGAATAAATTAGCTTGCCGCCTTCCACATGTGTTTAGAAAGGGAAAATCAGTCAGGACTTTCTCGGGGCAATCGTGTCTCACCTTCAACCACCATATTTTGATGTTATTACTTGTGAGTAGTTAAAAATGAAATCGAAATATTAAGTTATAGTGACCGTACCGCTGCTCAACAAACGCTAAACCACTGTTGGATGAATGTACAAAATTGGTTGAACTTATCGGAAACTGTATCTTTGAGTTCTGTCAAATATGGTTTACCTTCTTTTGAATATGCATGACTGGGTTTTCAACATTTTTGGCGACAAGGGCCCATCAGATCGGTCTGTGCATCCGATCTGATTATCAGCTAGTTATCTGTTGTTTGACATTTCGTTGCATCAATCATGAACTTTGTACAATTTACAGGTAAGAACTAGCACAATTTATCGAATAAAAATGTGATCACCTATGAAATCCACCTAATGTGTAGTAAACATGAGGTTTGAAGCATCGTTTTGGCTATGTATTCAGATATGCAGAAACTTGGCCATTAGCAAAACAGGACTGTCGGTGTTTGAACATCGCTGTCTACGCAGCATTGCAAGAATCTGGTGGGGCAGCTGAACGATCAATGATGAGGTTAGGCACCGAGTTTTAGGTACCCGCAATTGCTCACTGGAGCAAGTGGTCGACCTCCACAGATTACGCTGGTTTGGGCATGTATCACTCATGTCACCAAATAGGTTGCCACAGCGAGCGATGTTTGCTGAGGCAGGTAGTGGATGGAAGAAAGCCGAGGGTGGTCAAGCTAAGACCTGGTATGAGGATATGAAAACCCTAACCAGGAGTCTAGGTCACATAGGTCCCGTTAGGCTCCCTGGATGGGGACCTCGGGATGGTCGTACCCGATGGTTAGAGACACTGAGCAATATGGCTGGGTGTCGTAAACAGTGGCGTTCGTCCATCTCCTCAATTTCTTTGCAACCTTTGTGTCGTAAACAGTGGCATTCGTGCATCTTGACAATTTCTCTGCAACATTAGTGCATTTCATCTTCGATTCTATTTTCAACTTTCCTGTCTCTCCTACTATTCATCCAAATGGGCAGCCAAAAGACAGCAACCAAAACGGGTACACGAAAATGCATCAACAATGCTTGTACAAACTGAAACTGAAACCGAATTGGTTGGTACGAAAATCAAAGAGTTCTTTACTTGAATCAACCTGCCATTTTTGGTGTGTGTGTGGCTTCATTACACCCTCCTCGATCACTTCCAATTTGCATCAAATGACCAATCGTTTTATACATATGGAATACCGAGTGTAGATGTATTTTGAATTGTTTGTTTGAGTTGTTTTGTTTCTTTTAATTAATTAATTTCATCAATTCACGGATATTTTGGCACTTTTCCCCTATTCATCTGCAGGATCAAGTCGGGGACGATGAAGCTCGTCGACGAGCGAAACGACGTGAGCGGAATCGGGTGGCCGCGGCCAAGTGTCGTCAACGTAGACAAGATCAAATCATGGAGTTGCAACATCGTGTGAGTTTGTTGAACAAAACGGGACAGGAACTTCATTCTTCCATCCAATCACTGAACGAGGAACGTGCCCGTCTGAAAGAGCTGATTCGACAACATGGGGTGCGTGTTTTTATTTTTATTTTTTTTTGTTCTCCGATACACGAATATGCCTCCTTTAAAAAAAATGGTTCATTTCTACCACCAATACGGACCGCAAATCTGTACTTCATAGCTACTGTATTCGAAGTGCAATAGAGTGGTGATGGTGCAGTGTTTTACTCGCTGTCACCGGCGTGCTTTGAATCCTGCTGTCCAAGATTCGAGCCCTGCCATCCTACTTTGGTGGAAGGCGGCTTTGCTGTCGTCCGGTTCAATACCACACCTCACCTATCGGGGTCATATTTTGTTCACCATTCCATGTTCCGGGGCTTAGACTGCCGGTCTCCATCACTGAACAGCAAGTCCTCGTGACTATGGGGTCCTCCCCGTCCGCGGTTCATCACACGCATGTGTCATAAAAAAGATAGAAGAAATACCAATCGAAGAGTAATACGAATAACATGTTAAGTTATGATTCAAACAGAGAACTAATTTGACATGGTTAATCATGGATACAGCAAGTGAATACTACTACACAATAAACATGGACTATGTTTGAATGAATGAATGAATCAATCACTCGATGAATACCTGATCGGTTTTCAAAAAGCCGCAAGTTCATTGGTTCTTGCTCTGCGACATTTAGTTGCTTTGTAAAAACATGTAACACAGGGTATATTAGTGCATTGTGGTGCTTTTTTTCAAATAAGAATGTGTACTCCGGTTGATGATTGAGTTGAATGTGAGTTTTGAAACAGAAACACCTGTTCTGCTTGTGCATTTGCTGCTCGTAAGTATCGCATATGGTTTAACATGTTCCCCAAATATACAGAAACGCTTTGACCAAAATTGAAAAAAGTTATCGTTTTGTGAGTCACATTGTTCTATGTGAGTTCTGTGTATCACAACCCGAGTAGGGATGAAAGATGTCGGCTGTGAAGCCGTGGCTTATTTCAGATATCCACTCAAAGAATTCCTTGCTCTGTGTTCAGAGAAACAAGAGGGTCGTTAATCCGTGATTAACAGTTAGAAAGTGGACTGCCTATCTCTCTCGCAGGCAGCTGGAGGGAGTATTAGAAACGTTGCCTCCTGAGGAACTGATCGAACAGTACGGATCGTTTAGACACGAGATTCTCACACTCGATTTATCTCTCAGCTTTCGATTCCTTAGGTATTGAAATAGAGCGCACCTCGACATGGATTGAAATTCATTCATTACTTATAGGAGAGAGTAAAGGCAGGGAAATATACTATGTTGGTTCGCTGGATCGTTGTTAATTGATTGTCCTGATTGGCTGTCGGTCCAGACAAATCATTTGCTTTAGTTATCCTTGGTCTGATTGATGGTCACGGAACGAAGCAGTTTTCGGGGGCAAGCTGACCTCTCGACAGTAACCAGCCTCAGTAAATGTAAATATTATTCTTCTTACACGTGCAGCTTCTGTACAGGAGTCCAAAACCATCCGAGGCTCTTGATCTTGTTCTATGCAAATTCGAAATCTGTCAATGAAAATAGAGGTGTACATATAACTGGTAATCATGTGATTCATTTTTACACGACTGATGGCGACTTTTTGCGCATAGCTTTCATAGTAGCTAGTGATTACCATTATTATCCTTGGATTGATTGATCGATTGATTGATTGTCCCACACGCCCAATCACAAGTAACTGTGAGTTAAGTGGAATTTTGGTTATTTGTTGTAATTCCGATGGCTTACCCACCCACGACCGTGTTTGGCTCTCCGATCCAGTTAACGGGACCAACATGTGAGCCCAAATCTGCACACGCGTTATCCGCCACTGGATTTTTTTCCTACATGCTTAATCTTGTCTCCCGGGAATTTTCGTTTATACTGTATTCGAACAAATATATTGGCGTATCGCATTCATTGTTTATTCCAGATTCTGTTTTCCCTTCGCTTTAACTGTTGTGAATTCTCCTGATTACACACAATTTTCAATCATAATCCTATATACAAGTGTTTCACAGGGACCTGTTGCTTCAGTTTCGATTAGACCTGTATATTCTGGATATTGAGTAGAATGGATGCTAAATCTTCTACTTTCACCTCTAATGTTTATCTCACACGTTGAACATTATATAGCTGGCCGGTTGTTCTGCTGCTGATGAATTTCTGGCTTCGTTGGCTGCTTCAAATGATTTGACGCTCAAGGAGGAGGAAACTGTTGGCATGGAAACAGGAGAAAATGAGGAAGAGATGAATTTAGAGCCAAGCGGTGCTTTTGGCAGTACCGACGATATTATGATGACAAACGCTGCGCCGTATTCCAACTCGGGACCAACTACCAGTTGTTCCAGTCCCACTTCTCCGGCCAGTCGAACTGCACAAAGACCTGATAGTGAACTAACTGACGTGGGACAGCGCGTCGTGGCTCGACTAGAACAACAACAGCGTTTGCTACGTCCTAACAATAGTTGCACGCAAATTGTATCGATCAATGGCACGATAACCACAATCAAACCGGATCAGTATGATGTTCCGGCACCAAGTCCGGCAGACAGCGGATCAGATGGTTCAGATTCCCGCCAGATGAGAACAGCTTCTCAGTCATCCTGCCATTCTCCACCAACTACGAAGACGAGACTTGTGGTAGCGCGACCGTGCACTTTACTCCCACCCAAGTGCACACTTGAATCGGCTAATACCAGTGCAGACTCCACCGATTCGAATCACACCACCTTAATGGGGTCTGTCGTCAACACAACCAACGTTTCCACGGGTACCACAACAGCGGCAACACCGACATCACTCGACACACCGATTATGTCTCGTATCTGGCCCTCCGAATTGCACTATTTTTCTCCAATCCTCACTCCGTCAGCATGGAAAGTGATACCGAAGGACTGTGGTTCGGGTAGTGTAACTCCTAGTGCGTCTACGCCCACAGGTACTACAAATTCAACCGTGGCGAATTCTTCGGTAGCAGCTGCGGCTGCTGCCCTGTTCCTATCCAGTCCCTCGCTCACATCCAGTCTGACCAATCCGGGCTCGACCGCTAATCTGCTTGTTAGCTCATTTGTCAATTCTATTCAGACTGCTGCTGCTGCTGCGGCGGCGGCGGCTGCAGGTGGCACGGTCCTTACTACTCCATCCACAGGGGTTGGTGATCAGCTGTCAGCTGTCACTGCGAACAGCGGTAATCTTGCCAACACTCCTTTGTTCTGTTTGCCAGAGGTTATTGGTGCCCCGACCACGACCGCCAGTAATCAGACATCCTTTGTGCTCTCTCCTCTGACCAATCGAGATCGAACTGAGCAGCATGCGAGTGAAGAATTGAATGCAACTATCACTCAATGAGTTCCGATTGCAGGGATTTACGATCAATTAGTCCGTTTTTACCCCATCCTTTTGCTCGGGGTGGTGCGGTGCATTCGTGAACAAGACAGTCGGCTTGATTGTTGAGCCTGGACAAGATTATAAGTCTGACTGAGAACAGCGAGTCATGTCTTTCCCCGCTTTTCGCGCGCGCGCTCTCTCTCTCTCTCTCTCTGTCTCTCTGTTTATCACCTCTGCTCAATCAACAATACCCGTGCCGTGGTGACTTTGTGCGAATACACCTCCGGGTCGTTCCTTGTTTGCTCAACAGGTTGAATTTTGCTCTACAGCTCCCCACCCCTATCCGAAGTGATTTGGATCATTGACACTCTTTATGTTCCCGTCATGACTTATCGCATGACAATCGCAATCTTGTCATTCAATGATCCTTATCGGTTTGATCCCCCTCCCGCCACCAGACCACTCTCTCTCCCCGTCTCTCTTGGTATCTCTGGTCATAGCTATCTGTCGATCGGCCCGATTGTATGAACACAAGCTTGCACATCCAGGTGTTATCCTTGTCCATCTATCTGTCTGTCTGATGCATGAACATCAAATTCTCCCCTGTAAGTTTGCACTGCTTTGTTCTTTCTCCTTCTCTCTCTCTCTCATAATGTAACCTTCATTATCCTCATTGTTCTCATCACCATCATCATCATCATCATCATCATCATCATCATCATCACCATCCACATAATCCCTGATTCATATGGCGTGTGTGATTATGAGCAAAGCATTTGCCCCTACGTCTTTCTGCAAACATTCGCACGCGTGTATACGCACTATTGTAATTGAGTCCACAAGCACATGGAAAAAACACGTATTTCTTTTTTCCGTCCAATCGTTATCTCCATTCTTGTGACACGAATTTCAAAGTTGATGAGAAATGCACTTTTTAAAATCTGGTGAACGCATCGCACACGAAAGAACAAACATACACACACACACACATACAGATGCACAGATACATTCTTCGTAAATTGAGGCAAATCCATCGGATTAATCGGGGTCGGCTTACACTAAAAAAATAAAGAAAAGAATTCAGACAAGATCATTATATTTTTTACTACCCCCTTTAATAATTAATGATAAATATTACTCAACTAGAATCTGCCATACACACACAGTTACCCCACCTCTCCAGTCGGGCATCTCTTGTGACAATTGTTGTGCAGATAGTTCCCCACACACGTGTCCCATGTCTTGTCTAACCGAATCAGAGTTTCTCATCAACACGTGAAATCTACCTCTCATTCAACCCCACGCTTTCTCTCTCTCTCTCTATTCCCAAATTGGTTATCGACTCACGTGATTCCGATACAAAAACACTACTACTAATACTACCTATCCTGTTCCCCCTAACTGCACACTCGATATCCCCGCCCCTGAAATCCTATTCCCCAAAGTACTGTTATCGACGACCGAAAATTCTTGGTTTATCGTTTTGTTTTGTTTTGTTTTGTTCTGTTCTGTTTCGTATATTCTCCTTTGTTTTGCGTGTTTGATTACTTCACTAGGGGCGAGTGCGTGCGTACGTGCGTCTACACGAGCACCATCAACTCACTTCAAACACACACACACGAGCAATCCGCACCCGCCCTGCCAGACTATCGGTGTTCATCTCCGTGTGCTACCGGAGCCTGGACTTGTGATCAAGTTCGGTCATTGCCATTCACACATAATTATCATCACTACCAACCACGAATCGCTTTCGATCCAATTCTTCGTCCACCTGTGTTTATTCAGTCGTCAACCTCTTTTTCCGATCGGTTGGCACCCGCTGATTTCTTTTCTTTTCGTCCATTTATTTGTTTATTTATTGCGTTTGTTCCTCAATTCCATTGTTCTTTTTTGTATCACACGAGTTTCCTCTCTCTCGGTGTGCTGGTTTTCTCAATTAACGACTTGAGTACGTACGCATGTATCACTCGTATCCACCCGTTGGAGTACGCACACACACACACACACCTCTTTTCTCTCTAGCTTGCACATCTACACAAGTTCTGTCATTCAAACAGATATTGTTCTGTCCATCATCATCATCATCATCATCATCGTGAATGCGTTCAGGTATTTCCTTCCAAGCTGCCTTCATCCTTTTCACTAGCTCTCATCATCAGAACTATTTATTCCGGTCTCAAATCAAATCCCGATCAAATGTTCCCGTTTGTTTGCGCTCCCCGGGCCCATTTATTCAGCCAACCAACCAATCAAAACATTCATACGTTCACTGCTTCGCACAAAACATGCACAGGCAGCATATTACTGATAAACGTAGATGGTTATCGGATACATGTGTTTACACAGGACGAATTAGGCGTTTGCTAATCAGCCGTTCCCCCGTCCCATCCCTGTCTTGCTTAGAAATCCTTAGCACAACAGAGAATAATTCAGACCAGATATACGGCTCATGTGTGTGTGTGTGTGTGTATGCTCCATCACACAGATCCTTACGGTTCGATGAGTATCGCTCACGAATTATTGATAAGTTTTCTCCATCATCT